TAATAAATAACATACAAATAAAAATAAATTTATAAATTAAGAAAAATATATAAATTAGAAACTTTAAAAATACAACTTTACTTTTGTAATATTTGTTTAATGACATACCTTGTAATAAATGTTTAAAAACTTGGAAGAACAAACAATCAAACAATCTGGCTTTTTATATAGAAGCAAACAGCTTTTTTTTTAATTTCTTTAAAATAAGGTATTAAATGATCTTGTTCTTTAACAGTAACATAAAGTTGACCATGTGAGATAAAAGGGTTTTGGAGATAAACACTAACTTTATTAAGAACTTGACCTCTTAACCTTTGAAAAGAGCAACATCTTCTAGAGTCATCATAGTCTCCTAATTTAAAAATTACAGATTAATATACTTTAAATACAATTGACAAAAGACTTGAATTGTGTTATTATAATAATGCATGAATTAAATAAATTAACTGACTTTAAAAGTTACTTTACTAATTCAAAAATAACATAAGGTTCTTTACTACAGAGGTCCTTTACTACAGAAGTTATCAAATAAAAATTGTCGACTTTATTAATAGTTAAGCTGATGAAGTAAAGTTTTCAATCTTATTACTGATTAAGCAGATATTAATAGATTATTTAGATTTGAGAGTACCTAATTGCGTGAGTTCAAAGGTATAATGAGAAAGAGCATACTAAATGGAATTTATAATAAAACTGAAAGGCAAGTATGATAAAAATCTCCGTGTAAACGTGCACGAATGAGCAGTATTAAGTTAAGCAATAATCATTTAAAAATTTTTTTTTTATAACATAACTTACGAGAAGACTTGACCTGCTCTTGCTGCAAAAACTCTTATTCCTCTAGTTCTTTTCCTAGAATATCAGTTCTTTGAAATTCGCTTCCTTCATCTTCCTTTTTTTAAAAAAAATAAATATTTATTTTAGTGTTAAAAATGAAAAAAACAAAACAAAAAAAAAACCAACACTAGTTAACCTAGTTTATGGAATTACATTTCAATCAAATACAAATACAAATACTTAAGAAATTTTAAAATCAAATACAATACAAATACAAATACTCCAAATTAGCCTTTTTTTACCAAACCCCAATCCTGTTTAACAGGGGTTTGTTGTCATACAATTATATACATACATACATACATACATACATACATACATACATACATACATACATACATACATACATACATACATACATACATACATACATAAATACATACATACATACATACATACATACATACACACATACATACATACATACATACATACATACATACATAGATACATACATACATACATACATACATACATACATACATACATACATACATACATACATACATATATATATATATATATATATATATATATATATATATATATATATATATATATATATATATTTATGTATATATATATATATATTTATGTATATATATATATATATATATATATATATATATATATATATATATATATTATGTGTATATGTATATAGTAGTAGTAAGAGTAGTAGTAGTAGAAGTAGTTTATTTTGCTTTTTTTTTCTCGTTAAAAGATATTTTATTTTCCTAATTTTTTTTTTTGTAATTGTCTCTCATCTGTCTAATTAATTTTCTGCGCATTTTTTTTGCTTTTTGAAATGTTCTCAAAACGACTAAAAAATCTGGCCAGCTTTTCGCAACTAAATATTATTTCCATGGTCAGCAATCAAGAGTGATTGCTCCTGTTTCCCGACCAAGCCTGCTCTTAGCTTGTTTGTGGTTTTAAAGCTGACAAAATTAAGGTTATATTATGTAAAACATATTAATTTTATTGCAGGTAGTAATTCAATCACAGAACCACAAATTAAAAGACTAGAATGTTTTTAAAAATATTTGAAATGTTTTTAAAAACATTTTGAATGATTTTATTTTGTTTTTTAAAAATAGAAACATGAATGTTATTTTTTTATTTTTTAACTGTAAAACATGCGCTGAGTGTTGCTACATTGACTATTTTACAGCCTAACTCGCAATGGAGTGCTGCTACATTGACTGACAAATAGCCTGACTCACAACGGAGTGCTGCTTCATGGACTGACAAATAGCCTGACTCACAATGGAGTGCTGCTACATCAACTGAGGGTTTGGTTTGGACAGGCAGTCTATTAAATAGTTATATAAATAAAAATGTTTTCCGGTCTTTAAAATAAAAAAACTTAAAGGTGACAACTATGTTAAAAACTTAAAGACATATATATATGTATATACATATATATATATATATATAAATATATATATATATATATATATATATATATATATATATATATATATATATATTATTTAGTAAAAACATTTATCTAATTTTTGTGCTCTTCAACAACATCAGTAGGTATATACACACACACCATCAGTAGGTATACACACACACACACACACACACACACACACACACACACACACACACACACATACATACTCTTGCTTAGTCGTCTTTAATTTTTACCATAAAATGTAAACTTGAAAAAAAAAAAAAACTGAAAAAAGTTTAAACAAAAAATTATTTTAAACTTTAAGAAAATTTATTTTTTAATTAATAGATTACTTACCAAAGCCAAAACCCTCATTTAATGTAGCAGCACTCCTTGCATATTTTACCTATTTGCCAGTTGATGTAGCAACACTCCTTGCATGCTTACCTACTTGTCAGTCGATGGTTATAAACAGTAAAAAAATGAAAATAGAAATATTCCAGTCTATTAAATTAGGATTTTGTGGTTTTTTAAAAAATGATGAAATTTAATTAGTTTCCTCAATTAAATTTAATGGTTTTGACATAAATTGTACTTAAGCGTACTTGTTTTTTTCTTTTTCTTGGTTTTTATACTTAAAGGCTGGGACTTAAAGCAATATGCATACTACTTTGAGTATTTTAAAAAACAGTTATAATAAAAATATCTTCATCATATTTTAGGCTACCTGAATTTGATTAATTATATAATTTTTTATGTTGCAATAGTTTGAAAAATATGTAATGATTTTCTAAACACCATACTTTGGCTAGAAATACTTAATGACTGTTATTTTTCATTAAATATGAGTTGTAAATATACAGTATTGGACATTATTTAGTTTCTTTATATAAAAGTGCTGCATTTTTTCAATTTAGAGAAATAACTATGTAACTGTTTAGAGACAACATTCTTCAAATTTTATTCATCACAAAGTTCATTATTTGTACACGAAAATTAATAAATTGATCAAAAGTATTAAAAAAAGTTGATTTCTTTCTGGACAAAACAAGTGCAACTCCACAAAATGTTGACCAAGCTGTATTTCGCTATCAATATTTCGTGGCAAATCCTTTGTTGTCTATCACAGCCTTGCATCTTCAAGGCATAGATTCAATCAGGTGATCAATAAATCTTTGTGGAATCACTGCCCAGGCCTTTTGGATTTGTTCAAACAGTTGATCCTTATTACGAACACCTTTACGATTAAGTCTGCGGTTGATGATCTCCCACAGGTTCTCAATAGGGTTGAGATCCGGAGATTGAGGCGGCCAATTCATCACTGATAGGTGGTTGTCATGAAACTATCATTTTATATTCAATACATATATATATGTAGGTATATATATATACTGCTTGACTACTTTTGCAGTGTGTTTTGGATCGTTGTCTTGCTGAAAAACCCATTTTATTGGCATATTCCATTCAGCATGAGATAACACAACATCTTTCACAATATTTTTTCACATGAAACGGTCCATTATTCCATCGATTCGATGTATTGGACCTAGACCGTTAGCAGAAAAACACCCCCAGACCATTACATTGCCCCCACCATGCTTCACGGTTTTATGACAGCTTAGCGTTTAATTTTCTCCTAGTTTAAGTTTAGCTTAGCGTTTCTACATTCAGCGCATTTCTCAAATGTTTAAATCATCAAAACATATATACAATCATGGTCAAGTTGTCAAGAAATAAAATCATTTGCGTGGTCAGCTATAGCGCTCGATCACAGGCCATTCCTTTCCAAGCCTATATATATATATATATATATATATATATATATATATATATATATATATATATATATATATATATATATATATATATATATATATATATATATATATGTATTGAATATAAAATGATATTTTTAGACAACTTGACCACACCTGCTTGCATGTTCCCAGAATTTATGTGTTTTTTATTGTAAAACATTTTTTTAAGTAATTTGCTATTAAACAATATAAATAATAACGCTTTAAATAAAAACATTTGGATAATGTATAAAAAATTTTGATTAAAAATTTTGAAATATCGAAGTTATTTATTTTGAAAAATACTTTAAAAAAAAAAAAAGTTTTTTTCTCAGAAACTTGGAAAGCGAGTTAAAAAGTTGACTTTATGTATTATAGATTGGAAAAGGCAAAAGTTGTAGGCCTTAACATCTACAGAGTCACTGATACTAGAACCAAGCCATTTAGAGTGATGAGCATTAAAGTCACCAACAACAATGATATTGGAAGCTTTTTAGGAGTTGCAAATGCCCAATCCAAGCATGTAACTGTTAGAGTCTTTACAAATTAAAAGAAAATAACTCTCAGCACTAAGATCACAAAATGAGACAGCTGAACTCTAATTAGTCTCACAAGTAGCAAGTAGGTCTGGTGAACTTTGCAAGAGATAATCTTATGTTTTGATTGAGCATTTGCATCTCTAAAAACTCAGCCATTGGTAACTTCAAAGTAACTTTTTTTCTGTTGAGTCAAGACTTAACAGAAAAAGAGTTACTTTGAAGACCAATAATATCTCAATGTAAATATATACATATATATATATATATATTTATATTAAGATATATATTTATATTGAGATGAGATAAAATACTTTTTATTTTAGGAAATATTTTATCTCATCAGTAATGTCATAATTATGTAAATATGTTAATTATGTTATATAATCAAGATCATTTAATATAATTGATTTAAATACTTTTTTTAAGATTGGTTGGAGGCCATTTGGTAAACAGTTTCATCAGCCAAATTATTGTGTTAGTCTATTGAATATTATTTATACAATAATGATCTTTGCTATACTTTTATTTTGGTATTTTATTCAACTTTATAATTGCGTGGGCCATTTGGTTCTTATACAGGTGGGTAGCTTAAAAATGATTTTTTTATGTTGTTAATTTTTACATACTTTAAATGTTTAAGATTTTGCTTGGTTTTTGAATAAATATGTTCTTATTTGTTCTCATTAGAGATGCCTTTTACCTTAAATGAATTTTTAAAGTACAAAAGCCATTTATTCATATTTATATCAATTAGAATTTTTTTAAATTCTTTATTTATTTTATTAATTTATAGTTTTATTTTTACACATCATAACCAAAATTGGTTGTTACATGTTAATAGTAATGTTTTTATAAAAGTAAATGTTTGAACATTTTGTAAGGATAGAAACTTGTTTACTTTGATTATTTTATTTATATTATATTTATTTTGATTTTCACTTAAAAAAAAAATGCTGATAAAGCACAGTGACTTTATTATTTTAAATATATGACTTTTTGAACGGCATTAAGTACTGAATGGTTCCAGTACTTATTTGAATATTTAAGATAAATTCAAACTTGTTACTAAATGAGGACAGTTACTGATGCAGGCAGTGAATACTTGTTAACTTGATCTTTATTATTATTATGAATAAAAAATACTTATAAAAAAATTTACTTATGATTACTATCACCTTTGATAAACATTGGTTTCACTTGTATACACTGAGGAACACCAGTTTCACTTGTATGTGTCTGGCCAATCCAAAACCCACAAGAAAAAGTTAGAATAATAAAGATCTTAAAGAAAAAACTTTACAAAATTTGTTTTATTTTTTTTATATTTTTAAAATTAAAAACAAAATTGTTAAATTTGTTAAAATAAACGATTAAAAAATCAAATTTGTTAAATTGACGGCTTAAAACACACACTGATTATTGTTTATTAAGTAATATAGATTGATATGAGAAAAAAAAGCATATAACGACTTGAGAATTATAAGGTTCTAATTACTCTTTTTTATGTTAAAAATTTACTATTATTTGTTTACTTATGAAAAAAAAAAGTGAATATGCTTTATTTTTCCAGCAATACTAACAATCAAAAAAAAGTTTTATCCTTCAGTAGAATTTTAGAGTATATATATATATATATATATATATATATATATATATATATATATATATATATATATATATATATATATATATATATATATATTATATATATATATATATATATATATATATATATATATATATATATATATATATATATATATATATATATATATATATATGTATATATATATATATATATATATATATATATATATATATATATATATATATATATATATATATATATATATATATATATATATATGTATATATATATATATATATATATATATATATATATATATATATATATCCTCTAAAATTATTATTTTGATTTTGACTTTTTTTGCGACAAAATTGTTAAATAAAGAACACAATTTTTCTATAGAAATTATAGCCTTCATTTCAGAGAGTAAACTTTGTGTACAAATTCATTTAACTGTAGAAGTAGTTAGAGAGTCTAATGGCAAAGTAAAGGTAATTATATGATGGAAATCGAACTTATCAAGCATTTTTTTAAAAATTTGACGCATTTCCTGAAAAATCTTGATTATCAAATTAAGATTTTTCAGGAAATGCGTCATCAATAAGACCTTTTTTGTTTTTTGACTTTGTCAGCTTAATCAAAAACATCTGAACTCACTTAATCAAAAACATCTGAAACAATGAGCT